GAAGAATTTTTTTACTGAAGGGGTTGTCAGCCATTGGAACAGGCTGCCCAGGGAAGTGGTTGAGCCACTGTCCCTGGAGGAGTTTAAGAGAAGGGTAGATGTTGTGCTGAGGAACATGGTTTGGTGGAGTTGATAGTGCTAGGACAAAGGTTGGACTTGATGATCTTGAAGGTCTTTTCCAACTGAAACTGTTCTATGATTCTAAGCTTGTCCAGGTCCCTCTGGATGGCATTTTTTCCCTCCAGTGTGTTGACCACACCACATAACTTGGTCCACTCAATCCCACTGGCCACATTGACAACAAAGATGTTAAACAGCACTGGTCCCAGTACAGACTTCTAGGGAACACCACTTGTCACTGGTTTCCACTTGGATATTGAACTGTTGACAGCAGCTCTTTTGAGTGCAGGTGTTTTGAATTTTGTTTTCAATTTCTTATTCCTGTACCAAACTTAACGCTGAAAATAACTGTTGGATGTTTTCACTGAAACAGACAGAGAGAAGTCCATTTTGTATTTCTCAACATGGAAATAAGCTGCAATAAATATGTTGCTTTTTTCATCGTGTCTCATTATGTCTGATTGAGATTCAATTCTATAGGCATGTTTTCAAGCAGTAATTAAAATCTGATGTGCTGTACTATTTAAAATGTGCTTCTCATTTCTGTATAAATTACTCACATTTGCTTAAGACTTTGTAAAAGTACCAATACATATGCACCTAGGAGAGATTTGTTTGAATCATGCAGGTGTTTGAGGTGAAGATACAATTTTTACTTACCAAAATCTATCTCGGAACTCATATTCAGTAGGACTTTGTCTTTCAGTCCTCCTTGTGGTTGTAATTGCGCTTCTTAGTGAAAAGAGGATGATTTTATCTGTCTAGTGTACTGGTTAAGGCAAAGATACCATAGAAAGTTTATACATGTTCTTGTAATCAAATATGTAGTTACAGATGCTATAAATAAAAAAAGTGAGTTCAAGGAATACAGAGAAGTTCAACAATTTACTGATGATTGAATACTTTATAGAGGAAGCTGGAATTGATTTTACTGGAAGAAGGACCACAAAAGAATGCCCTTAGTTTTAAATTGACAATCTCAATTTTTGGAGAGAGATTTCTGTTGAATAAGATTGAAGCAATGACATTTGTACTACTGAGGAAACAAAAGTGATTAAGATACCTTCAAAGCTGTTTAATGAAAGTGGAATAATTTTTAAATATATTTGTCCAAGATTTTATTTTTTTTTTCCTTCCCAGACTGAGGTTTACTTACCAAATCCATTTTCTTTTTTACAATCAGCTATTTTCTGATAAGGCTTTTGCTTGATTTTTACAACCCGATTGACTTTCGGATTCTTGTAAGTAATAGATAAAATGTTCTTAGAAATATTGTGCTAAAGATTTGTCAGGAGAATGATTTAAAGTTCTTTAAAGATCATCATCCCTGCCCCCTCATGGGCAGGAACACCTTTCACTAGATCAGGTTGCTTAAAGCCACATCCAACCTGACCCTGAACACACTTCCAGTGAAACTGCTGTGGGCAACCTGTTCCATGGTGATTTTCATTGGTACTTAAATCCTGTACAGTTTGTTTAAAAAGGAAAAAATATGTTTTTCATTGAGTTTCATCTGGGCTAGGTGATGAAATTTGTGGCGCAAGTGGTTATTTGGTTATGTTTCTGTGACCAGCCCATGGAAAATGGAAATAATTCCTTGCTGATAAATGATAATGATGTCTGAACGTAGCATAAATGCATACAGGATTAAGGTTAATCATTGAAGAGAAATTACTGCAACTCCAGTTTGTTTGCTAAAAGTAGTTATGTAACAAAGCTTCTCTTTTTTATTACTGTATGTTGTAATTTTTTCTGAACGTGAAACTCTTGAAAATGACCAACTGGTAGTGCTAGCTAGAACTAATCTGAGTATAAGCATGTGCCGTGTATATATAGTATAAGCTATGTGCTAGCTTCTAAAACTTTTATAATAAAATGTTACACCAATGTGGAAATAATCATAATCTAGTAGTTTTAAGAGTAAATTTGTGACTTGGATAAATATACAAACAGCTTTACTGTTTCACCTAGCCATGTGTGGTGAACAGACACCCAAGGAAGAGTAAGAGCTGAGCGTGCCTGTATGTATATATGGTGATTACCCTCCGATACTCTCCTAGCCTCCAGCTATTTTCAACTCAAAGGATTTTCTGAGCTGCCTGTGATCATCTGATTCATATCCTTTAGTGAATCTTCCTTCCTTGACTTCTTAATTCTTCCTTCAATCCTTATACATTTCTCAAATACACAAGAAGCTTGGAAAAGGTTTTCGGTTGTGTTTTGTTTTTGGTTTGGGTTTGCTTTTGTGTTTGGTTTGGGTTTTCTTACTGGTTTAGTTTTGGGTTTTTTCAAGTCTTGCCATCCATTACTTGAATAAATACCTCTACCTTTTACTTAGTTTGAACCTGGTTCCCACGAAGAACCAAGGATTGATTCAATGATTGCACAAACTTAGTAGTTCAGCCCTTACATCCTTGACTTCACGCAAAAGTCTTAAGTGAATACCATCTAGTCCAGATACTTCTGTTCGTTCTGTCTAGCTATATTCTAATCTCTGTCAATATCAGAAGATAATTAATAATAAGGTAAAACAGTAATAGATTTTTCCTCCTTCTTATAGGGCATGGTTCTTGAGGCCTTGATAATTTAGCTTTTTTTCATTTGCCTTTTTTTTTACTTTCATTCAGCAATGTTTTAGTTTATGCTTTGGAAGAATCATTTAATTATTTTCCACACAGTGATGAGATAATGTTACAAAAATGTTAAAAGATTGTAGCAAAAATCATTGTTTCTGGTGCTTAAAAATCATTGGAGAATTGCATGCAGTAAAATAAATGCAAGAAATGTGAAACATGGGAGTATCCTGGAAAGTTCAAGCAGGTCCAATTCTGCTTGCAAATTAAAATGAAGCTGGAAATTGAAATTGCAGTAATTATTTATCAGTTAAATATTCTTTAATTATTTTTCCCATAGTACAAGTAACCATCTCATGTTTGACTTGTAAGTGGTACATATATAAGTACACAAAACTGTCATACTTGATTTCTTTTCACCAGGACTCAGTGAAAATCTGCTTTATTAAAAAAAATATTCCCATTATGCTAAACTTGTATTTCCCTAGACAAAAGCATATATTCTCTTATTTCTTTTTCTACTGAATCTAGAAATTAGAGTTTTAGAAGATGCTCCTAATTATGACACTGTTCATCCTTCCATGTTTCACAAAGTCCAATTGCTACCAAGTAGTTCTTGTAGTTTTTGTCAAGAGCTAGATTAATTTACACTTTTTAGAAATAGATTTAGTGTCTTCACACAGAACAGCTGCTTCCCTAGCATGCCACTTCAGTGATCACCAGTACTGCTACTTCCCTCATCCCATCCTCCTGCAACTACCAACCGAACTTTCTTCCTTTTATCAGCTATAACCTTTGTAGTTTTTGTCAACTGAAACTAAAGTTAACATTGATCTCATCCAGAATATCTGATTTCAGTGTGACAGAATACCTAACATGTTACTGTATGAATGTGCAAAAAATTTAAATTTAAATTCGCTAACAATATTTAATAATTTGTACATAATATGTAGTGCTTCAGTAGTGTCTTGTATTGGAGTTGTAGTTTGAATGTGTTGGTGAAGATTTTAATTTCTCAGAAGCATTTCAAACAAGCATAAAGTAAGCTTGTTAAGCTAACATTGCTATAACACACTGTTAATGTAAAATATGTTGAGATCTTCTAGATCAGAAACATCGATTTGAATGCTACCTATCTTGGAAGCCTGCCCTTGTAATGGAAAGAACACCAACCTTTTGGTTATTTTCGAAATAATAAATTTTCTTTTCATGAAGGATAAAGAAGTTGTAATTGGTTCTTCAAGGAGACATTAAATAATGAAATCTAATGATTACAAATTAAAGAAAATATTCCCTTAGATTAAAAGAGTAATTAAGTGAGGTGAAGCTAGAGACCAGCTTCAGTATAGCTGGAGATGGCCCTGTAAAGACCAAAGCGAGCTAACAGATGAGTAACAGCCCCTGGAGTTGGTTTAGTATGGCAGATAATGTCTTGGCCTTAGAGAGAGATGAAGCTCTATTGGGTTTTTTTGGCTTATGAAAACAGCTATTATTTAAAATCTGAAAATACTGATAAATTGTGGATGTGGTATTATCCCTTGTTTGGAAGAGAAGATGAAAGTCTACTGAAGTGCTAAAAGAAAAAGTAAGGAAGTTGAACTGACTTTTGTACCCTTTGTTTTGATTTGGTTTTTTTTTTTTTATAGGTGAAATGAGGAATGATTTATATATCACTGTAGAAAGAGGAGAATTTGAAAAAGGAGGGAAAAGCGTGGCCAGAAATGTGGAAGTGACAATGCATGTTGTGGACAGCAGTGGTCAAATTTTAAAGGTAACTTTGTTGTGTTTTATCCTACTGCTCTCAAACCAGGACACCTCTATAAACACTTTCATTCTTGTTAGTGTGAATAATTTTTGCCACTTTTTCTAATCAGCAAATGCTAAAAAAGTGATACTGTTTTTGTGGGTTTAAGATATTAACCATGATATCACATGCCGTATTTATGATATGAATATAAATATTAAATAGTCTTTGGAAGAACGGTCCTTGACGACATCTTACCAGGGATCTAATCTATCTTTAAATCTTTATTCATATTTTTTTCTTCATCAGGATTTTATCTCATTTGGCTCTGGAGAGCCACCAGCCAGTGAGTACCATTCCTTTGTGCTTTATCATAACAATGGTCCCAGATGGGCTGAGCTGCTGAAACTTCCTATTCCTGTGGATAAATTCAGAGGAGCACACATCCGCTGTGAATTCAGACACTGTTCCAGTAAGTGCTGTTCATGACTTCTGCTCACCCTTTCTGTTACAGCTGCAGTCACCACATGAATTTTTATACTACTTCAGTAAAAAGACAGCTGCATGAACTTTATAATGCTTTCATGACACAGCTTCTCAGACTTGTAGCTCTGCTTGGTGAAACTCAGTGCTTTGGTAAAGCCTAAAAACCGAGAGAAACCAGTCTGGTTTTAAGTAGAAATAGCTGCAAATATAACCAGAATTCTAGGTTAAGTCAAAATGCAAATTTAGAATTTGCCTGTTGAATGATGCAAAATTATACCTGTTCTTTAATACAGCAATCCACCCAATGGGAAGTGTACATAGATGCTTCATGGTCAGCTGACATTGCTTTTGTATTGTGATTTCTTCTTTTACTTACAAAATTCCAAAATTCTCTAAACAGAAAATTTTAGAGATGACTGATGTAAAAATTGAGGTCTGGGCCCATATTCTTCATGCCAAGGTTATATGAGACAGGTTTCATATCTATGGTGCTGACTGCTGTCCAGCTTGTAGAGAAAGGGGGATGAAATTGTACATCTCTTAAACTGCTGCTTTTGTTTGGCTCCTTTTGGTGTTTTAGGTGTAGCAAGATTTAATTATATATATATTTCCTTGGTCAAAAGTGACACACACAGTAAGTGATGGCATGTTTAGATTTTGAGGTACATAAACTTGAAAATGCAAGGATTCGGTAATACAGAAAGAAATTTGCATTGATTTCTTCCTAAGTTTTCTTTTGTAAGCTATGAAGTAATAAAGGAAAAATGTCAGTGGTACATTTCAAACAGATGATACATTTTTGCACAATTCTTCCCGTGTATTTTTGTTATGATGGCCTACACCTCCCCAACTATGCTAAACCCGGACTTGGAAGTCATATATATGTACACATTTGGTGAAAAACTGGTTGATTTTCAAAAGCGTTCAGCGTCTGTGCTCATGGGCTACAGTAAAATCTGTGCCATCTCAGTGTTTTGTAGTCTGCCTTGTATTAGTGATAGGTGAGTTTAGGAATTTGAGCTTAGGCATCCAAGGTTGAGGTTAGGCATCTGCTCTCTAGCATTCGTGCACCAAACTGTGACATCTTCAGCCATACCTCTAGAGGCAGATGCCATATCTGAAAATAGAAGTGCAGTGTAGCCTGAGGCAGGCCTAAAATGGAGACCAGTGGGAAGAAGAGGGTAATTTATCACCAAAATATCCTTTTCATATTGGGCTGGCTAGATCACATTAATTTTGTTTCCTGGCAGTCTGTATGTTGGTGTGTTTGGTGGCTTCCATTATTTGTTGTTGATAAACACGGAATCATTCCGTAATACTGCTTTCTGATTTACAGGGAGATAAGAGAAACCATTACAGGAGATAATATGCAAATCTGGAAAGAAATTTAAGATAATCTTAGTCTGACTAGCTGCAAATAGCTTCCAGTGTACTTTCTTACGTTGTATTATTATTATTAGTTTGTCTAAAGTGTATAATATTAACTTTAAATGCTACTATTTGCATATATATTTCAGCAAAAGAGAAGGGTGAGAAGAAGTTGTTTGGCTTTTCTTTCGTTCCCCTGATGCAGGAAAATGGGAGAACTCTTCCAGATGGCACCCATGAACTCATTGTACACAAGGTAATTTTGAATTAGGAATCATTAGCTGTAATGATTTGTCTGGAACATACTTTAAATGCCCAGGAACATTAGGTGAGAAAGCCTGTTGTATTCCTTACCAGATGAGCAATAATCTTGTCACCATTAAAATACACATTGCTGATTGTTTAATATTAAGCGTCCTATTACAAACTGCAATTGAATCAGGTATGTGTGGTTTTACTAAGTGTTACTCTTACATTACATTGTATTTGTGTTGGATTTCACAAAGGTAAGTTCAGCTGAAACACCCAAAGTGAACTCCATGATACCCTTGTAAAGTTGGAAAATCAAGCAAGCTAATTTATGCAGTTCTGCTCAGTGTGATCATTTTTAGAGATATTTCAGTTTTGTGTAATTTTTATTTCCATATGTAACAGTTATCTCTTTTTTCAGAGGACTTGATGTGCTCCTAGATAAATTTTAGATTTTAATACCAAAATTTGGGGCTATTCATTTGACGTACCCTGTGAAAAACTGGCAGATAGGTAGCTATGATCCACAAGCAAAGTTTCAACAGGCATAATGAGAATTCATCGATTTCTGCCTGAGAAACTATAATAATTTATATAATTTAGGGACTTGGTCCTTTATTTTTCTGCACTTCAGTTATGTCAACTGGTTTGTTTTCACAGTGTGAAGAAAACACAAACCTTCAGGATTCTGGTCGCTACCTCAAACTCCCCTTTTCAAAGGGAATTTTCCTAGGAAACAACAGCCAAGCAGTAAAAACCACTAAAGAGTCCTTCTGGATTACATCCTTTCTCTGCTCCACTAAGCTCACACAAAATGGTAGGATATGTTGATTATTTAAAACATGATGAATTCAAGTGCATGTGATAGCTAGCCTTTTCTATGCCAGGCAAGCACGGATGTACTCAAAAATATCTTATGTTCTATCCATTTTACAAACTTACGGTTTTCTTCATAATTTTTGTATCCAGATGGAAACCAATGCAGCATGATAAACCACTGATTTAAAGTAGTTCAAGAATTCTTTTTAGATTAACATGATATTGGAATCAAATGCAGCGTGCTTGGAATCAACTGTCAAAACCCAGCTGCTTTACAAAAGCTCTTAATCTGTTTATTGTAGAGTTTTTATGAAATACTTATCATAGACTTTGGGCTGTGGCGATTTGTTTTTAATTAGGCACGTAATGTTTTTTTTGTTGTGTCGTTTCTCTTCCTTTAAGGCAACAAACGTTTACTGCTGCTTAAAACAATCTTATACACTGGATATGAGGAGCAGCAGATAGAAATACGCGTATTTGCACTCTTTATCGTTGCTCTGTCCAAAATTCTTAATTTTGTTGTTTATTTGCCATATTAACTACAACTTGTAACTGAAAGGGTTTTCCATTAATTTCTAAACATTGTACATTTGCTTGGTTATGTGTTTCTGACCATTCTTTCGTATACCCACAGTTTTGTATTACTTTTTAAGCTGTTTGTCACAGTTTTAAGATCTTGCTTAGCTCTCTTGTGTGTGAGTGACTGTGTCTTTACCCGTCTTATATGTACAATGATAAAATTGCTGATTGCTTGCAAATTGATTGTAGATGTTTAACAGCAACTGGAACAGCTTTTAAAATTGAAATAATCATCTTAATTTTCACCATTTAGTAACAAGTGTCCAAAACAGAACTATGTGCAAATACTAAGTGGTCTGTTTCACTGTGCACATCCTTTCTGTATTCTCATAGCAATTAACTTCAAAGTAATAAAAGTTACCCAGCAAAAGATTTTCCCAAAGGTTGCTGATAGGCAATCAGAGACTAAATTTGCTTCAGTTACAGGCCTTGATTTAGGAAATCACATAAATCTACTAGTACTTACACATGCATGAAAGTGCTGCCCAGAACGTAAGTGTCTCACTGATAAATAGTTGAGCAGTTGTCTGGGATTTTTATACTAATTTATGTTCACAGTACAGGAGTTGTTTTGTACTTAATGTAAATAGATCTGTGACATAGGGCATAAAATTTCCTTTTTTTGAACCATATTCTGAGTAAGAGAGTGTAGAATATCTGAATAATACTGATCCCCTTTTCAGCTCTGAAAGAGTTAACAATTATTTCAGCAGTACTTCAGAGGGTGGAAATATTTTCAATAGACAGGCTCATATTTTCTCCAAGGATCTTCTTTGGGAAGTTCATCTTGGTGAGTTTCCAAATCCCCATTCTTTCAAACAAAAATTTGCCAGAACCTATTGCATGCTCCGAAAATGAACATAGAGCAAAGCATGTGGATATTTGGTCATGTGAGCATTACTTCAGTTATCCCTGAGAGAATGTAGCGTGTTATTAAAAAATACAGAATCAAAAAGATCTGTGCGTTTACTTTTTCTGGTAAACATTTGTATTGGTATTTTTGAAAATTGCTGATTATTTTTTTTAATCTGTTTTTACGTTTGGAGATTTTTCTGAAGTTCTCAGAGATCTGCTTGTGTCTACAAACAACAATTGAAAATTATGCGATTGGTCTGGCTGTGGGGTGGGGGACGACCCCAAACCCAGACTTGTAAAGGGTGTGACTGAATTAGGCCACAGCTTGCTGGGAAATTTTACTCAGCTGTCATTCTCTCATTGATTGTTTTCACATGCCATCAGCTCTCATGCATATTAAAATTATGGGGACTGGGTGAAGGAGGCTGATTCCCAGTTGTTGGAGTCAATTCCTTCCTTACCCTGGGTACTTTAAAGGGGGTTTTAGGATTATTTCCAGTTTTCAGAGACCAGCAGAGTCTGTGCGTTCATCAGCAGATCTCGTAACAGTGCAGCTGTATCTAATCTGCCAGTTAGCTTTTCCTAAGCTTGACTTTTGATCCTGGAGAGTTAATCAAAGTTAGCAAAAAAAAAAAAAAAAAAAGGTAGCAGCCTTTATATGTATTACATTTTTAGCTGAGTAGTTATATCTCATCCTAATGAATACCAAAAGAGAAAGAGAGAACAGAGAACATAGTATTTTTCTACAGTCTTACTTAGTTTTTGACATACAGGAAACATCTCTGCCTGCCAGAGGCTCAGGATCCATCCAGCAAGTCAGAATATTTTAGCGAGTTGGCATCCACTCGTTTCTCAGCACGGTTGGGCACGTCCTCAGTAAGCAGCTGCTCATCAGCAGAGCAACATGCCGTACAGCATGTCTGTTGCAAGGCAGAGGTGCAATCCCTCTATCTGCATTTTGAAAAACCCAAACCAGTGGTTAATGAATCAGAAGTAAAAGGGGCAGCTTTCCAGGGTGACCCTGGTTTGGAGGGAGCATTGGAAACCACAGAAGCAGCCTTTTGGAAGAGGAATGCAGACTGCCACCTCTGGAATTCAGCTTTTTCCTTTTGAAGTGCAGTAGTGCTACACCAGGCCAATTTTTGATGTCTCAGGATTTACAGGAGAGAGATGGAAAGATCATACCAAACCACCTCCTCATACACGTTTCTAAACCTCTTATTAAACCTAGCACTTTGGACTTAAATTACAGATTTTGAAAAGGGAAGTGTTGTGTTTGGTGGGAATGATAGGTCAGCTGTAGCCTGATTTAAATGTACAAATCTGATCACAGTTAAGAGAAGGCATTGGAAATGTTTTTCTTCTTCAGCAACATTTATCAGCAGCATTGACTTCTTCCCTTTTCCAAAACTATGTTTTCCTAGTGGGCCTATTTTTGGGGACAATTTTCTGTTCTTATTTCTCTTAATACATGACACATTGCTATCCCTTCCCTTTGTGATTCACATGTCAGATTTTCCATTCATGTCATTTATGCTTGGGCTATTTCCTAATGTTATCTCAACAGTGTCTTTCCTCCTTAGCATTTCTCTTGAAATAAGTTCTTTGAAGTGAATGTCTTACATTTGCTTTCTCTTTCTTTTTTAATCCCCCAACAAATCCCTAATGTTGAGTGTCAACTATCTTCCACTAAGTTCCTCCACAAACCTGTAAAGAGGAGTCTTTCCTGCTATGAACTGACAGCTTTAGCTAGTCTCGCTACTCCTCAAGTGGAGACTTAAAGAGAATGAAGTGTAGAAGTCCATTTAATTATCCAAAAGACAAATGCAGTTCACTGGATTTGTTATGCTTATTTCTTGAAAATCCCTGACAAAAGGAATAATAAGACCTATCAATTGTCCTTGATCTTCGGGATGTGGCTCTGATGCATGTGTGGGAGCCTTCAGCACTCTTAATGCAACTCAAGGATCTCTTAATCCAAACCATTGTATACTAGCCCAGCATGAAGCAAACCGAAAAAGAAATGTATAAATGCATCAAAACAATTTGTGCCTACCAAAATCAATTAAGGCATCAAAATATTAGTGGAATAGCTTGCATGGCGTTTGCTGTTAACACCTCTGTCAAGATTGGAATATAGATGTAGATTTATTTAACGTTATTAAAGACAGAAATATTTGTTGTTGTGGGAGAGAGGAGCTTTCCTGGAGCAAACTGAGAAATAACAGAAAGATGTGTGTGGCTCAAATGTTACTTGAGTATGAAAACAATCTGTGGTACAAAGCATCCAAATAAAGCATCCAAATAGTTGCTGAACCAAGGGGAAAACTTCCTATCAGCAACTTTATGTGATGAGTACTGAAAGCGTTTCAGAAGAACTGGGTCCTTCTAAGACACTGCTGGGAAATGATCAACCAGACAGCAGTTCAGATTAAACTGATGGAGGGTGGTTAAGGTATTCCGCTTCAAACAGCCAGGCCTTGAGACTTTCTGAAAAGCTGGTTCGGGGAAACAGTAAACTTGAATGTAAGGGAGTATTGGGTTTTATTTAATTCATTGATTCAGAAATATGTGGAACTTCTAATGAAAACTTAAAAGGAGACCTAAGTGAGTGTGTCACGAGCAGAAAGGCAGAGAACTTGCAACAGAAGGGAGAAAAATGACAGCAACGTGTAAGAGTTCAGCAAGGGTCAGGAGCAAGTGAAAACGCCTGAAAAACCAAGCCAAGTTGCAAAACTCTGCTTTTCGATACTGAATGGTATAGGACGTGAAATTCCCGATCTCATAGCAAGATGGTTTTTTTAGTACATTTCTGAAGCTGAAAGCAATAACATATGACTGAAGAGTAATAAATAGAGTAATTACATTTAAGACAGGTGGAAGAGCTGGTATGTTAACTCGGCCATCACCCTCCAATGAATTTTACGCAAGTACTTGCAAGAAACCATGGGTGGAAAAAAGGCCATGTAGCTAAATGGAATGTACTGTAAAATGAGATTATCAGAGGAATACCGTGCTATAATAAACTTCTTAATCTTTCTTTTCAAAGTTCCGTTAATTATTATTCTTCAGAGGAAACATAGATCTAAACCATCTGGACTTCAATAACACGCCACATGGGAAATTAGAAAATATACAGATTAGAATAAGGATTTTAAAACTGGTAAATAGAGGCTAAAAGGGAACTAGCAGGTTGCACTGTAGTGCAAGGAATTTAATTCCTGAGTGAAAGGAAAATACTACAATATCTGAAGAATTCAGACTGAGATTGATTTCTTTTTTTAAAGGGGTAGACATGAGAGTTACTTTGCTAAAATTTGAGACACTAGATGTACTGTTAATGAAATTTGCTGCTAATACGTAGTTTAAAGAGTTTGTCAGTTGAGAGGGACAAAAGCTAAATATGATACAGGCAAAGCAAGGTAGTCTTGATCTAAATAATTAATAAGAAGGAGTAGAAATTAGATCAAATGGGGTGGTACAAAAGGCAGGATCATACCCAAATGGAGACTTGGGTATTCTGCTGTAGCCAAGGAGCTAAACAGTATTAAGCAGGAGGAAGACCTGTTTGTGTCACCAGCATAATGTATCTTTTAAGAAAACCCAAATTCTAGAGCATATATGTCAGACGTTTACAGCAGGCATATGAGCTTGTTAATGATACAGAATACAGTGATATGGTCTTCTCTGTAATATAGTTACCATTTTGTTCAAGAAAGCTGAAGGAGAATGAGTTAAAACTGGAGAAAGTATGAAGACTCTAGGGTATGCTTTAACTTGGAGAAAGTTTATTTTCCAGGCGAGATTGTTGCTTATGAATAGGGAGAGTCTTAGAGGCATTGTATTTGTTGCCTAAAAAGACATAGGAAGATGAGTATTTCAAATATATCCAAACTAGTAATTAGGAGACTATTTCTAGCTGTCAGAGGATGGTTCTGGAAGACATCCTTCAATGGGACAAGAGACAGCAAAATAATTACTTTTCTTAAGATAGTGACTGAGAAATAGCAGAACAAGATGGCATGACTCAGTTGCCACAGGAGACAGATTTTACAGACCCAGTACCATGTTCTTCTGTTTCTGTTGGTGGAACAATTGTGGGACATTTGAACATTTGTTGTTGGGCAGATTGCATTGTAGCAAATTTTGAGATGATTTCTTTTGTTTTAATGATGCCAAGTTTTGCTGAGTGAACTGTAATATTATATTTTAAAATCTGGAGTGCTGCTTTGCTTCCAACTTTAATCTTGCATTTTTTTTTTTTTGCAGGAGATATGCTTGACCTTCTGAAATGGAGGACCCACCCAGACAAAATTGCAGGTTGCCTCTCAAAATTAAAAGAAATTGATGGTTCAGAAATAGTGAAGGTATATACCTTTCTGTCCTTTTAGATAGTGTGAGGGAAATAATGTCACAAAAATACATATTTAATAGCAAACTCCTTCTTATTTTCTCCAGTTTCTTCAAGATACTCTAGACACTTTGTTTGGGATTTTAGATGAAAACTCTCAAAAATATGGATCAAAAGTATTTGATTGTTTGGTAAGTTTCATTCTGGAATAACACTTACCACTATTTAAGAACTAAGTAGAAGGAAAAAATTTTTTTTCTTTTTCCTTCACATTTAGGTTCACATAATAAATTTGCTGCAGGACAGCAAGTTTCACCACTTCAAGCCAGTAATGGACACTTACATTGAAAGTCATTTTGCAGGTGCCCTTGCATACAGGTGAAGTCTGTACTTTTTCTATCTGATTTGAATACTGACAGTTATGGGTAAACTAAGCAAAAAGCAATCAACAGATTACATTTATTTATATCATTAGAAATAAAATGCAGTGCTTGTATGAATGTCTAGGTGATTAAAAAGGATAAAATAACTACTGGAAATGTTATGTGCTAATGCTTTAACATTGGCTTCATTTTAAGTCTTTTTCCTTAGTGAGTTTGTTTATTTGAATTACTTTGAAAAATACAGGTGCCTTAAATTCATCCAGCTGCAACTATGTTTACTGTCTGTGTAGAGCAGTGCTCTAATGAGTATCACTTCCTCCTCTGTACACTGCATTTGTCTGCTGCGTAGACTTCCATTAAAACCAGTGCAGTTTAATGAAACTGCAAACCAATGCTTGGAATAGCAGGGGTAGTCCGTGCTGGCAGGGACCCGTCTGGCTTAACTGAGCTCGTGTATCTCTGTCAAAATCATTCTACTGGATACGTGATGCTGGTATTATTTCCTGTTCATCAGACACCTACTTTCAGCGGACTGAAAACTAGGTGTAATATTGGGCCTTGTAGTGGTTAGTGAAGTCTAGCCATATGTTTTTTATTTTGTCAGTGTTTCTTATACGGCAGCTGTTGGCTTGTATTCGATGTGCAAAGTTAACCTTTTTGCCACTTCTGTGTTCTAATACTTTCTGATGTGCTGTTCTAGAGATCTTATAAAAGTACTGAAGTGGCATATTGATCGAGTCACCGAAGTGGAGCTGCACGAGCACATTCAGGAAGTACTAAAGGTAATTAAAACTGTCAAAGGCCATTATGTATTTGAATGATGTATTCATACAGTACCAACAGGTTTAATTTAGGAAATCAAGTGGAGTATGTACAAATGATGGAATGGTAATACTAATTCTAGGGAGCTGCAGATTTTTCAGTGCAGTCGGTTTATTTGCCGTTCCCTTTTATTACTTAGTTGAGCTTACTACCCCTAGACTCTGGAGCTATATATTCCTTACTGTGTAAGGACATACATTGGTGGTATTAACATCTCTCCCAAAACTGAATCTAAATGGCAGACATGCATGCTGACTTAACGGTTCGGTCCTGACACAGAGGAACGCTGCTGAAAATGGTGTGTTCAGTTGCTCTCGTATCATCAGTAGAGCACAGTACGGAATCAGGCTGAGCTGTACAGCTGAATAATCTCATTTAGGACAGGTACTATGGTCTGCAAATAAAGTATCAACATGATATCCTTCTGTACTTTCTATGTATGTTTTGCTGATAAGAAAGAGCTGAAAGAGCTGAGTTTTTAATTTATGTTCCAACAGCAACTTAGGACTTTTTTTTTTCTTTTTTTTTTGTGTATTATCTGGTTAACAGTTGACAGGAAAACAACTTTTAACAGGCAGAGGAATTCCAAGAACAGCTCAGAAGTTTGAGCCTTTCTTGAATTGACCTTATGTGTTTATGCAGTATGTGTTTCTGTAGCCAAATACATGAAGAGGAAGGGGGAACAGTGTTGAGACTTTGCAGTTTCCATTTATTAAAGACAAGTGTTTCCTGGTTTCTAGAGATTATGAAAAGCAAGGGAAGAGCATTTCTGAGTATATGCCTTTGAAATGTTGTTCGTGTTTCAACAGAAAGATTTGCCAAAATTAAATAATGTGTTATCATGTTTCAGACCCTTATCATTATTTGAATGATATGATTGCTGTGTGTGTTTTATTTGAAGATGATGGTTCATTTTTATGAATTATCTCTGATTTTGACGTTTGTAGGCACAGGAATATATCTTTAAGTACATAGTACAGTCTCGAAGGTTATTCTCTATTGCCACTGGTGGACAAAATGAGGAAGAATTTCGCTGCTGTATCCAAGAGCTTCTTATGTCAGTACGCTTCTTTCTTTCCCAAGAGAGCAAAGGAGCTAGTGCTTTATCTCAACTGCAAGTAAGTATTTAAGTGCTTGTTGCTACTTTCCACATCCGATATAGGAAACATATGCAAGTCCTTACCTGTATACCCAGGAAAGAAGATGTGGTTTTGCTAGAGCTGAATAGCATTTTCACCACATCCTTTTACCTTTTGTCATGTGTGAAATTTTCATACCAGCAGCTTCTAAATGTGCTTGGCATGGATAATCCTTGATGAACTGTATGTTTTTCCATATGTTTTACTACTCAGCTGGTATCTTTGTTTCAATTGAAGCTACCAAAGTTAACTGCTGCTGAAATACAGAGGCAAAACACACAGGAGACAGCTTTCTACATGAAGTGTCATATATTTACCAACTTCTACAGCTCACATATATACCATCCTCTTCCCCTGTTTCTGTAACAAAAGGTGTTCAAGACCTGTTAAGAATTATTAATCTCTTAAGCTCTGTAGAAAATTGTTCCAAGAAAATCGCAAATCAGAGAGAATGGCGAGGTGGTTCTTACTTCCCATATAATGTAAGTAGGTGGAATGAAAAGATAATTGCAAAATGATAAGAACAACCACATTTGGAATGCTTCTTCAGTATCTTTAACCTTGTATGTCATCCCTTCTGACACCAGTGTGAGGGAGGTCTGAGGTATGAGCAGCTTTTCTCAATTAACAGGATTTGGAGAGGAAGAAGGGAATGTCAGTTCAAGCTTCCTTTCTCTGGCACTGCCCTCCTTTCTTTCCCAGTGTTTTGATCCCAGGTTTATTATTCTCACCAATGAATTTCTAGTCCTGTTTTTAGCATTGTTGAAGTGAACCAAGGCTGCCAGTGCTGTCTCACTCCAAAGTAAAAGACTTCATTGGTTGAAAAATGGAGGATATGGAGGCTGTAATAGTACTTAGCTTAAAGTGAACCAAAACAACTGCACTCACATCTTTTTGTTCTGATATCAGCTAGCATGTTGGCCTTTTAAAAACTTATTCTCACGCATAGATTGTGAGGAATGTGTAGAGTATAAATATTTTTGTTCTAATCTGAATTTTTTACTTTCACTTTGTCCTGGGAGAAATGAACAGTCTTTAGATAATGCTTAAAGGAAAATAGTCACAAATGTAAGCCTGTTAATGAATGTGAGGATATTTCTTGTGAAAAATGACCATTTTTAAAGCTGCTATTTACCTTTTAAAGGTAAACTCAAGCATTTTTCTACAGTTACTTAAATTTCTATGGCTATTTAAATTTCATAAATGTCAAAACTATACCGCAGTATTTGACTGTCCATTTTTTCCTTTTCTCCTCTAGGCTGTGTTTCTCAGCTCATTCCCGTCGGTGTACTCTGAACTTTTGAAGCTCTTTGATGTGAGAGAAGTGGCAAATTTGGTTCACGATGCTCTGGGCAGTTTGCCAACAGTCATGCATGGGGATGAGTCCCTTCAAGCTGTTAAACTGCAGAGTATTGGGAAAACTGTCGAGAGTCACCTGTACACTAACCCAGGTGAGGTTGCCCTGGAACTCGGCGTGTGTGCACAGGCCGGCGGCTGCTGAAGGAAGGAGTGTTGTTCAGAGTCGTGGAACAATTCTTGAAGCACTGCTCTGCACAAAGCTGCTCATTTATGAGAATACACAGTTGGTTAAATGCAGTGGTTTGCGTTTTAGACAGTGACTCTTAAAATATAGTTTCCTTCTGATGTACTGTTGGCAATATGTCTGTGAAGGAAGTTTACCTTATATGTTTTAAGTCATTATAAAGGAAAAAAAACTTTACTAATTATTTTTCTTTTTTTCTCCCTTGGGACAATTCAGAAAACGGATTGTCATTTATCCATTAAGTCTTATTTGTTTAACTCTTGCTATCTCAGCACTTTCAATCCTCCGTTTTTTAATGTATAAAAAGGCTACACAAGTGCAAATGGTACTTGGTGCATGAAGTATATAACAGCATAGGGATTTGCTATGCAGAATTAAAAACTGCTTTATGACATTCTTTTTTTCTCTTTAAGTGAAACCCATAGAAGTGACCAAATATTAAATTTGTGATGAAGTAATATCAAGATTAAAGAATTAAAATACAAGGAATTTAAAGAATTTTAATAAGTGTTTATTTAGTCACCAGAAGCCCTCTTGGGAACTGTTTGGGTATTGGCTGATGGAGTTCAGTAGAAACAGTAACTTTTACCACCTAAGGCATTCAAGGGAAACCTTACAGTGATGAAGGCTCTGCAAAAACTACCAAGATATGCATAAATATTTTGAAATGCTGCAAAATAAAGGAGAAGATTGTAGACTTTTTTTTTTTTTAATCCTTTATGTGGTCATATCTTAAAAGTATGAGCTCAAAGAAATGGGGAAGAAGTATTGGATCCTGGCTGCTTTGCTTCGTTCTGGTTGCAAAAACAGCTTACTCTTTCTCCTGTGAGCCTCCACAGCAGTCCCTGCCAGAACAGTAAGCTCTTCCTACAGCTGATGGATCAGACCCTTGATGCTCTGAGTAGGTGATGATGACATATTCATGGAGCAATCTCTAACTTTTGTTTTTCATTTTCCAAACTACTTAGGGACCAGGTAGCATAATTTCCATTTTCCTCTTATTATCTCATTAGGTCAGCCTAAGCAGAAGATCCAGATATATGGATGTAATTAAAGAAAGTTATTTATTGCCATGTAACAGACTCCTGGGGATTTTCTTGGGACTGTAATTTGCCTTCAGCCATATGACTTTTTTTGGTCTTTGCTTCCTTTTGCAAAAGTGTTAGTTTTTTATTCAAATTCAGTTTCATTATTAAGAAGTCGTATGGGTTGTATTGGCGATAAATGGAGATAAATTTTAAATGGAGTGTGGGTTTTACAAAAATAGAATATAAATTTCTTAGATCACAGGGAAACTCATGTGAAAGACATGAGGCAGTAATACAAGCTCACAATGTCATGCTAGGAAGCTTGGACAAACACATACAGTGTCATTTCAGTCATCATTAAGTTGAAGGGTCTTGTGGAGTTCAGCATCTGAGTCTTTTCGCCTTTAATTTTTTATCCCTTTAAAATACAAAAACACAAGTACACTTTCCCTCAGTCAATCTCTAGAAGGACGAAGTCCTTTTAAAATGCTCTTGGGAAAATAAATATTGCACTAGGCTATGTTAGTGTGCAGAGTAAACTGTACATCCTAATGAGTTGAGGCTTGTGGCTGTGAAAATAATTGATTCTTTCTCCCAGATGAAGATGATGAATGCTGCAGGGTGTGGTGCTAGCTAGCACGTCGGAACTAGATGGAATGCAGGAAATAACGTCTGAAAATGAGGAGAGCACTTCTTAGATAATATTTTCTGCTATCTGGAGCTTTCTTGGAAACAAGCAAGCATAGTTTAGCGTGGGAGTTTTACACATTTTGTATTGCGGAGGCCTAAACAACTGACCCGTTTACTCCCACTGCTACAGCAATCAACTGACACTAAAGCTAGGCTTTTGCTAAAACTGGGAGATATACATGGTACATTGTTGCAAACAGAAACATCAGAAGTGTAGAGGTTGATTTAAGGTGGTCAAGCGCAGTTGTTCAGTACAATTTCAGATGCATCTAGTCTCTGACTGCCTTTCTAGAGAATGAAGTTTATGCAGTGTATTTACTGATCATATGTGAGTAAGTTGTCTAAAATGGCTGTGTATTGAGGCTTTGTTATAGCTTGCTTAGAACCTTTTTACATTCCAGTGATTTTAAACTTCAGCTCTTCGTTTAGGTAACAACTATAGCAATGTTAAAAGATATCAGCAGCAGTTATCTGCCTAGCTCCTGTGAAAAGTTGGTGGGTGTTAAGACCTTTACCTGTATTTACATCTGCATACATAGGCTGTCTATCTGCTGCTGATAAAGACTAGCAGTATTTTTTTTCCTCTTGACTTTTCTTCCAGCCTCCTGGTATTTTGGGCATAACTCTTTGGACACGTCCCTGTTGGTACTTGTGGAATGGCCAAAATGATGATCTATGTATGCCTGTACCCAGAAGATTTTTCTACCTCTGTTATTTCTGATACATCAGGAGGCTAGTCTAGTTTTTGTATTGAATGCTGTTATAGCTTGCTTAGGGGAAAAGTTAAATCTGTTTTGCTGAGACAAGTTAAGGCCAGTAACAGAGAAACACATCCTAAACCATGCCCTTCTTGACATGGTTAAACAGGAATTAGCAAAACGCCAATATTTTTTTTCTCTAAGGGCACTACTTTGAGCTTGCAAATTCAGTAGCTGTGAAAATGTGAGGTGTGTTAAGTGAAACATTAGGTTTCATCCTCCAGAGAGGATGAGTTTTCTTAGAATCACCACTGATCAAACATGTCAGCTGCCAGAAGAGAGATTGATAAAGTCCTAAAAACACAGAAAATCTCATATTGATAATCCTCCAGAGAGGATGAGTTTTCTTAGAATCACCACTGATCAAACATGTCAGCTGCCAGAAGAGAGATTGCATTAGTAGATAAAGTCCTAAAAACACAGAAAATCTCGTATTGATAAAGCTGATGTCTAAGCAGAGTTATAATCTGTGGTGCAGCTCTTTACCGCATGGAGAATGTACTTACCAGGCAAGAAATTTTGTGTCTTCCCAAAGTGTGAGGATTTAGAACTCTGCAAGAGTAACTGGGTAGGACTTCTCCTTTTAGTGAAGCAAGCTGTTCAAAACAGGAGAGGTTTATGTCTCTGATCATTTACACTATAGGTATCATACGGTATATGATACATATATTATGAAGCTAGGAAAAACCCAAAGTAGATGTTTTAAAGACACCTTCATGTGTTCATTTTATTTCATTTGTTTGATATGTAAAGTTTTCTCTCTATTTATTTTATATATAATTTATTCCTTATCTATTCTTTATTGTTTACCTTATTTTACACTGAAACCCACTTTTAACAGCTTAGAAAAGTGACAATTACCTATTTATTTTCTTTCTGAGATTGACTACTTCTCTCAGTCTGTCTTCATGAATGAGTTTATCTAAGAATTGCATCCTGTATATCAAGGAGAATGTACATGTACAAAACTAAATTTTTCAGTAGTCATTCAGATTTGAATATCTGACATAATCAGTAAGAATAATATCTTTGAACTTTTTGGTGGAAAGGATAGTTTTACTTGTTACAGTTCCTAAGGAAATGAAGAAAATGTTGTTAGCAAGTTCAGGAATGGCCGAGGGGGAGGACTTTCTCAGCCCATACCTGTGTTTTCCTTTTACACTACAGGCAATTTTTTTCTTTCAACTGAAAACAGCTCCTCATAGAAGTTTTGAAACTGATTGTTCTGAGGACAGTCATTGTTCCCTGCAGTCACAAAGCAGGCATATATGGTTGGCTTTGGAATTGCAATGGTAACTGCTTGCTTGACTTAAGCATTTTCTTCTCCTTCCACCAGTAAGTCCAGTGGTTCTTCCAAACAAGGAAGTGTGAATTGAATAGATCCAAGTAAAACTATCAAACCTAACAGCAGCTTCCTTACTTCTCACTGTTCGAGGAGGATTCTGTTTATTTAAAATGTTCAATTACACTAATTCTTATTCCAAGCAGGCTGAAGTTTTGACCATCTGTTCAGATATAGTCATTGAAATGAATATCATCTTTCTGAAATTAGTCTTTAAAATGCAGTAGAATAAGAATAAAGTTTTTTTAAGTCTGTGCAGGTGCTATACCACTAACTGAAAAGCAAGGGGGAAAGTTGTGCTGTGGGTATTAAACATTAATGTAGCTTGCATAGGAAAGTCATAAGGATTGCCCAGAGTAGTCTCTCTTTCTAATTATGCCAAGCATGTACTTGAAAAGCTCTAGGTCATTGTTTTTTTTCCTCTCTTTCTTTATAATATTTGTAAAGGGCAAGTATTAGCATTTTAAACAGTCAGCTAATTTGGCTTCCTGCACAGAAGAAAAATTAGGACAGTGACTGATGGCTAAGAGTTCTGATTATTGCACCATTCTTTGCACTCATTAATTTTTCTATGTACAGTGGCTGACATTGCAGCTGACAATTTTTAAGAAAAAGAGTAATCTGAGACGAATGTTGTACGCTACATTCTCCAGTCTTTCTCACATAGCCGTTGGTTTGGCTCAGAGGTGAATATGATGGCTCTCCTCTTCTGTAATACCACTATATTCCTCCACCTAAGCAGTTCAAGACAAAGAAATATATAGATTATGGGATTATGAGGAATATATCTAAAGCTGCATTATATGTGGTTGTTAATTCAGTAACTACCGCTGTTTCCTCCCATGTATAGTTGCAAGCCATTGTAAGACGCTTTTTGCTATCCATTTGGTCTCAGTAAAACAAAGTTCCTGATCATTTTATGAAGCTTTTGCAAAAATCTGGTGCTTGATACAGGTTTGCCTGAGATGCTTCAGGCCATACTGTATGCAGGAGTTGGCTTTTTACAAGTCAGATGTTTCTACCTGTAGATCCCCTGTTCTTCAAACTGGAGTTTGTAATGCTGCATTTACATGTACGTAGTGGGCCCCTCAGAAAAGGTGCCAAATCCTGTGTGCGTGTGCTCATCAGGAAGCTGCCTAGAGTGAACCAAGAGGAAACACCTTGGCACAGGGCTGCTTGTTTTCTCTTCAACTTCTGGGCTGAGGGATTTGAGTTCAGCTGCAAGAGGGGACCTACTGTCCTCAGAAGACCTATGGCCCAAAGGATAAGTCTCACAACAGTGACATGTGAAAGAGCTGCTGTAACTGCTCTGTGGCAGTTGTGGAGTTGAGTCCTGAACTGAGCATTTGCCTGAGAGGGAAGAACGGGTCCAGTGCTCTGTCAGCCTGGATTCAGCTTCAAGTCACCTCCCTGCCAAGAGAGTACCCCAACTGCAAAGCCACAGGCTGTTTTATGGAATGAACCTTACATCTCTTTTCTTGAAGATGGGTTACCAGGTAGTCAAGAATTCAATGCGTGTAAGGCCTAATGGAATGCAGGGAAAAGGAGCTGTTGACTGTAATCTATAAGTTAGGTCTTTTTTATAGGAATCAAGAATCCTGCTTTTTTGCTTCAGCTTAAAGGCATTAGCTCTGGTTTTATATCCATCAGTAATCAATAAACAGATTTCGCAATGGGGATCAGCAGCTGCCATTTTCCTAACCACAGGTCTGCTAGTTGCCAGTGTTCCTGCCTGCTTTCCTCTTGACCATATAGATCTTGCAGCAAGTGGGTCAATGGCAGCTGTGCACACTTGACATCTCAGACTACGTGGGGCAACACAGTGCTGAGCCTCTGGTTTTAGGTAGAAAAGAAAGTGCCTTTAGTCCTGACAAAAACCTGCTGAGACACTTGCAGAAGTAAGCAGTCACTGGATGGAGGTTATTGTTTTCCAGTTTTGCATTTCAGCACCGCTGGTTTTAGATTAATTGATAGCCTTTTGCCTGTTACTATACAGTCTTCATTTATATTTTTGTTCAGTACAAAGATACAGCTTAACACCTGAATAAATAATAGAATCGTAGAATGGTTTGGGTTGGAAGGGACCTTAAAGATCATCTAGTTCCAACCATCTGCCATGGGCAGAAGCATCTTCCACTAGGACCAGGTGGCTCAAAGCCCCATCTGACCTGGCCTTGAACACTAATAAGCATGAAACACATATTTAAAAAGAAGAGGTAAGCTTTTTTTCAAAAACAAGAATATAGTTAAATAGTGTGTAAGAATCAACATGTCCATATGATTTGTCTGGTGCTATACATATAAACAGCTAATGAAAACAGGGAATAATAGAGAAAAACTAGAGTAGTGCTGCATTTCAGTGAATGAAAGAAGTGTTCATGAAATAAAATCTTAGAGTAAATCTCTCTTTCTCTCTTTTGGAAAAAATAAAGGAAGTATTTGAGGGGAAAAAAGTGTTTATAGAAAGACTAATCCACGAGCAGTACTTGATTGGCAAAATTATTTTACAGGACCTAGATAAACTCAATTTTTAGGAAATAATTTTATTAATGAACAAAGGAACTGAGTAGATCAGTATATTCAAATAATGTAGCATATAATCATCATTAAAATTTTAATAGAGGAAATAATTCAAGTACATTTATATGAGAACATTATTTCTGTTATGGAAATGATCTAAAACCAGCAATAAAATGAAAATAGGTAACACCCCTTCTATTTATCAAGTGGTAAATAGGTGTTTAATGTGTTACCACAAGTGTAAATGTTATGACTCTTCCTTTTTAACATTGTATTTGATTATAAGAAAAGAAGCAAGAGTAAGTAGCATGATAATGAAGTTCTTTTAAAATTCTGAGAGAATTCAGGACTGCAAATAGCACCAAAGAACTGTGTTTAGAAAATTAGAAGGAAAGGCAAATCATTTTTCATACAGATCTCAGTAGTCTAAATTGCTCATACTCAGTAGGAGTAAGGAATCTGGAAAATTGAAAGTCTTGAAAGAAATCTGAAAGTACTGCTTGTCCATAAAGTAGAACTTCCTTGTTAGAGTAACATAAGTTCAGGATGGAGTCTGTTGTGACTTCAGCTTTCCCTGTCACCTGGCAGGGAACACTAGAGCCTAAATCCATATTATTTTGAATTCAGTTATTTCTATGCTAAGATTTTTTTTGCATGACAGTTCAATGAATACTTAGAATTGTCTGTTTTATATATATATTATATTCCATACAGTGGTGTTTTTCTCCATCTATGATATGATATGATATACTGACTTTCAGCATATAGTTTGTTCTTCAAATATATTTTGTGGGACATTATGATTATGAAGTAAAAGCTTCTGCCTGTCAAAAATGTTGGTTAAAGCAAGTAAAAGCTTCTCCTTATCAGAAATTCTGGTTTTGGACTGAAAGCAAATTTTATGTCTGCATTAAAAATAAATTATTCTGTGAGAATCTCCTACTCATAAAATTTTTCATTTTTTTTCCAGATTCTCGGTACATTCTTCTTCCGGTAGTTTTACATCATCTCCACATGCATTTACAAGAGCAGAAGGACCTTATAATGTGTGCACGTATCCTTAGCAACATATTTTGCCTCATCAAGAAGAACAGCTCAGTGAGTAAACACCATGTCCCTTCCACAAGGTGTTGAACTTCTTTATATGGCTCAGTGACGTTTAATGACACAACCTGGACCTTGACCAAGAGCATTTTAAAGAGATCTCTGTGTAATGATTCTGCATAAACATGTGATTTTGATTTCCTGCGAGCCTTTCCATGCAAGAATATCTTAATTGTAGTGCATGGTGTTCTGCCCAGCTTTGACTCTTTGAGTTTTGTGAAGTGTCTGCTTTCTTCTAGAGGCATTTTCTGTTGTGCGCTGTTTAGTCACAGGGGACATAGAGATGATATAGAGAAATGGATTGATGCGAGTGTTGTAAGGAGGGTTTCACTTTGTTGCTGGTTGTTAAACTTTGTGGCCAGTTTCTGACATTCGTGTTCGCAAATTCATCTGTGAAAGCTGCATATGAGAGCTAGCTTAGATAGGTGTATTGCAGATGCGAAGATGGTAAGTTCTGACAGGCAAAGTATATAAGACAATTAAAACCAAATGTAGTGCAATACATACACATCAAGGCCAGCATACAATACGTTGTAATGCATTACTGAGAACTGTTTCATGTGTTTCTTCATTTTGTACCACTGTCAGCAAGTAGAGTTGCTCCATCAGTGGTTTGATATGGATGCGGCTTGCAACTTTGGCATTGTAACATTTTCATTGCAGCTGTGCCTGGGTTATTATAATACTTCCTCACAAGATAAAGTGACAGATGATAAGGTGTAGCTGTGGTTTTGGATTAGGAGAAGAGCTTAAATGTCTGGTCTTAATTTCAGGAGATCCATCATTTGGAGTCACTAAGCCAGAGATGTACACAATAACACGTGGATGTCTACATGAAACTCCAATGTTCAGGATACACAACTACTATTTTTAGAAGTCTTTGAGAGTATTAAAAACTTGGTGATTTTGATACCATTTTTGTGGATCAGTTCAGAACTTCATTCCTCCCGTGGTAATCAAGATAATTAAGAGACTGAGGGAACAAGTGAACTTGCAGCTGGGCAGCTTTGAAAATTGAGGTTGTTGGCCATTCTAATAGTGGTTTGTCCATGAGTCGTCTTGGTTGATACAGTTCCTAAATCCATGGTACACTATCTGCCTTTGTCAGTAGCCAAGTTAACCATTGTTTGATACTATACAAAGGGACAGAGAATACAGCCATGAAACTAGGACCATCTTGAAACCAAACAGGAACTTCTGAGTTTTGTTACAAATCATGTGCTTTGGGTGTGTAGGAAGGAAAAAAGAAAGGGAAAAAAAAATCACTCCTACGCCTTGATGTCAGCAAAGTTGAATGATCTGTTTATCAGCTGAGTTTTAGTTTGGTTGGGTGCATTTGATTATGAAGTGTTTCTTTCTGTGAAGAAATGTCACCTTAAATTGTGGATAACATCGCTCAGATTAAGATGGTATTCTCTGCTGCAGTGGAGACAGAAAACCCCGTTGAAGCAGGGAAAACATATTTCCATCTGAATTAAAAAAGAAAAGTAACTACAACTTGACTTCATCAAGTGTGTTCATGCGTGTAATTAAGGTATTCATGGTCTCTTTTGACAGTGAACACTTTGGTTCCTTTTTATTGATGTTGCGTACAAGCAGTTGTAGACTTACATAAATGACTAATTTGTTTGTGCTACTCAGTTGATGGGAAGCAATGTAGCTGGTCCTTACTGCTGAAGCAGGTCTTGAAGGTTGAGCACCATCTGCTTGTTTCTGGTGATAGTTTCAAAGTGTGAAAACAGAATTCTACTTTTTGGAATTTAAGTCTCTCTTGGCAATTTCCCCAGAAAAATATATGGGCGTTACCTATAAAAATCTTGCCTGAAAAGTACTTTATTTACTGCTTTCTTCTAAATATTCAATGAAAATAGATCTACGCTAATCTAATGAAAGTTTACATATTCCAAGTCATCCCAATAACTGTCTTCTATCTTTCACTGCAATGTAATTAATTGAAAACTGTTAGAAAAGAAATCATTAGAATTAAACAATATTTTATGTAGAGAATAGTCCATGTTTCTCAAATGTAATATTCATGGTAAAATTATAATTTGTTTCTAAAACGACATCAAAGGAGATACGCCTGTGGTCATCTTTCTATTTTAAGATCTTAAACATGTTTTTTATTTTTTAAGGAAAAATCTGTCCTGGAAGAAATTGATGTGATTGTAAACAGCCTGCTAGATATTCTGTTAAGAACCATACTAGAGATCACCAGCCGACCACAACCATCAGGCTCTGCTATGCGCCTCCAGTTTCAAGATGTGACTGTAAGTTTCTTACAATGAAATAGCTCACAGTTGTCTCTGGTCAGACTACTAGATTTGTGACAATATGATTGTCTTTATATTGTAATTCACTATGTTAAGATTTTGTGGATAAAACAGAAAAAGATGAGAACACAGAAAACTTTTCTTGTGTTTTGTTAATTTTCAATGGAAATAGGATTTTTTTTCATTAAATTTTTTTATAAATTGTACCTTAAAAAGCTCAAAAGATAAAATTACTTTTGAACCTCATGGCAATAATTATGATGTTTCTTTTGTGACAAATTTAATAGCTTTCTGAAACTCTCTTTAAGTTTGAATTCCTGAAAATGGAAGAGTATCAGTCAATAACTTTTTGCTTCCTAAAACACATGCTTCTCTACATGATGAAACAACTCTAAAAATGCCCGCAGAATCTGTGATGCTAACTTACACAAATCCAAATTTATTAATTGAAAGGCATTTTGTTGTTCTCTGGACTGAGTATTTGAGCTTCATTTCTATCACATGAAGTAGACCATAGAGGATGGATTTAGATTAACAAATGATATTTTTGTCAACCTGCTATAAAAACTCATGCAAATTGGAAGGTTGAAATGAAGGCATTTAAAGAAAAGCCTATGATAAGCACTGATGAAACAAAATGAAGTGTTATTTTGCTTTGTTTTCAGTAAGTTTACGAGTTTGCTTTTGAAGGGCAACTCAGTTCTAATATAGTAAGGGATATGACCCAAATATGAGGTGAGAGGGTAACATTTTGTGCAGAGGACATACAGTGCTGTGTGATTTACTGTCTTACTATACACATAATTAATTAATTGCCCAATTTTTGCAGTATAAAGTTTTTTCATTAATGAAGAGATGGTTGCTTTTCAAAAAGGAATTTCCTTTAAGAACAAACATTTCAAAAGTATTTAACAGCTGTGGAAGAAATGTGTTGTTGGGTCTTTTGTTCATTTTTTTTACTTATCCCACGGAGAACAGATGAAGTGTTTTATGGAGCTGACCAAACTGTAATAAAAAAAGTCATGCTTTAATAATTATGATTTAGCAGGAGTAAACATCTAAGACTTTTTTTTTTTGTTTAAGTTACAAAATTACAGATGTTCACTGTGTCGCATATCAGTCCATCACAAGAAAATATAAGCTGAAGTAAGGGTTGTAGTGTTAGACGGTTAATATGTCAAAGCTCTGAGCTTATTGGTTTCTTCTGACATTATCCACTTGCTTGAAGATTAAGTTTTCATAAAACACCATGACAGCCTAATTCTTTCACACCATCAAAAAATTAGACTCTGAAAGCACTTTCAAGTTTCAAAATTTTCTTTTTATGCATCAGAAAAGCCGTGTCATTGTCACCACAGGCTCTCAAAGAATACTTAATGTGGAAGTGACTCACAGCACAGCATAAGGCAATTATATACATTTATGTAGAAACATCATGCAGTATGGGCTTATGGCAACACACGGAGCCAGATTCTTGGAACTATTTGCAGAGCAAGTATGATAAAGTACTCAATGTGAGTACAGCAGCAGAGTCTGTTCCAGTATGTTACCATTATTTCAAGCTGCATGTATCATAAAATATTCTTTGTGAGATGTGTCGTGGCAGCACACTGGATAAAATTTTGTCATATTTCTGCATCAGATATAGCCTTCCTTGTGGAAGTAGTCCCAAGCTCATCTCAGTGCGATTTTCTAGGCCCACGTTTCACTGTTTTTCTGCACAAAGCAGCAGCATAAAATCAGGCAACATCAGGCTGTGTGCTGCCTTGACTGCACCGTTTCTTTCATCTCAAGTAGTTTTGGTAGTTAAGCATCTTGTTAGCTGGTAATCTGCAAGATGAAAATGATGCTTCAAACTGAGTACAAAGAAGAGATATCTTCAGAGTGTCAGTGTTACAGGTGTTATACTAACAACCATTGAATTTAATGCGATGGTGAAACTTCTGCTTTAGGATGTCAGTGATTTAAACTAATTTTAGACTTCCTTAAGAAGAATGTATTTGTGTATAAAGTGTTAGCAGAAAGCAATTAAATTAAAGCAAACATTTATTGATTTCAGGTCTTAGTACTTCAGTCAGAACTTAAATGAATTGCAATTTCATTGTGAGCTCCATGTATTTTTTAATAATTGTCCTCCTTAAATATGACAAAAAAAATTACTTCAGGGTTTTACCTAAGTGATTTGGATATACTGCTTGGCTTGACTTATGGCACTAGAATTGGATCCTAAATGTTTTTTATCAAGGTCATTATTTGTGTAGAGTTTGCTGTCATGCATGATTTGCAAGTTAGTCTGTGGCTAGAACTGACAGAAATCTTAGACAGTTTTATGTTGAGTTCAAGAAATGCAGCTGAATGTTCGTTGTTATTTTAAAAACCAGCTGCCTGTATAGCTGCCTACATTTGAATTAAACTTTAAAATTTAGAAGTCAGTTAACAATTAGCTAAAACTGGCACCCTTTTAGAGCTATTCTGTCAACTATAATATATGGCTTTCTATAACAGAGTGTGATTTTTAATATACTACTATACATTGAAGTAAATGTAGGAACATAGAAGGAAGGTGACTAGAAAGGACTGCTAAAAATGCTTAAGCAAGAAGGAAAGTTTTCAAAAGGGTTCATACTCAAGTTTTGTCACTCAGTATAGCAATTAGGTAAGCTTACACCCTTATTTATTTACTCTGCTTATTTTGACTAATTAGCCAAATCTGAGCGTCTTGGATTTTATCACTGGAATAAAAGTCTCCAAAAATTAGGCCTGTTTAGATGAACCTACATTATGCTGCATAGCATAATAAAATTATACTAAAGCTAGACATAATGAAATTAAAAATAAAAATTAATTATAAGAGACAAAAGTTTTTTTGTTTTCGGAAGAGGAACTAGTGGAGCTAGAAATAATTTTGCATAAATTTACAAGATGGCAGCTGTAACCTTCTTGGTTATGCCCAGAGCATGAAGATTAAGAGACTTTGTAGCCTTCGGATATTGTTTTGAGAGTCCTTTGTTCCTGTAAAAAACAGTAGTAATTCATTTAGGATCATTAGTTTAGTGTAGAATCTTATTATGGGCAAGACAATTGTTATTTTATTATCACCATGTTGCCAGTGAAAATCACCACCACCAAGTATACAAGGTATAATTGCAAATTATTAAGTCTTTCAATGTAAAATCCAGAAAACACACTCCTTTGAAAACATACTGCTTGGTTTTGGGTTTTTTATCTTTCTTTCTGTTTTTAGTGAAAGATAGGGAAAAGTCTTCCTAAAATTTTACTTGTCAGACTAATGAAAGACACCATTTTAAAGTACTGTTATCATACCTCTCTGTTCTCCCAGCCTCACTCCCCATTCCTGGAAGGTACAGGCCAGAAGTGTATTTTTTTAACAAGTTTGTAAGATCTTTTCTCAAGCACTGGGATGCAATTCAGACCTATAACTCTTCCTTTTCCTCATCCTTTCAGCAGTCGGACCAGACTGATCCCATTCAGTGTTTCTTCCCAGTTTAAAAATGAACAAGCAGACAGGAAAGGGAGGAAGGGAGAACTTTTCCCTTCCCATAATGTCTGAGTTGTTTGGTTGCTCACTGGAAATACCCAGTGCACTTCTCTGATCTTTTGTTCCCAAATCCTGTGCTGTTTGAAGAACAACCTCGTGAACATGCCATCTGTAGAGGCAGGGAGGAATGTGAACAGCAGTGCACCCCTATAGGCTGGGCAGTGACTGGCTTGAGAGCAGCCCTGAAGAAAAGGACTTGGGGGCACTGGTGGACGAGAAGCTCAACATGAGCCGTCAGTGTGCACTTGCAGCCCAGAAAGCCAGTCGTGTCCTGGGCTGCATCAAGAGGTGCGTGGCCAGCAGGTCGAGGGAGGTGATGCTCCCCGTCTACTCCACTCTCGTGAGACCCCACGTGGAGCACTGCGTCCAGTTCTGGAGCCCCTATGACAAGAAAGATATGGACGTGCTGGAGGGTGTCCAGAGAAGGGCCACGAGGATGATCAGAGGGCTAGAGCACCTCTCCTATGAAGACAGAGTGAGAGAGTTGGGGCTGTTCAGTCTGGAGAAAAGAAGGCTCCAAGGAGACTTTATTGTGGTTTCCAGTATCTCAAGGGGGCTACAAGAAAGCTGGTGAGGGGCTTTTCAGGATGCCGGGTAGTGAAAGGATTAGAGGGAATGGATTGAAGCTAGAGATGGATCGGTTCAGA